CTGCCAAAGGGGGGCGGCCGCCGCTGAATCCCTGCGATCCCAGGACGCAGTAGTCGGAATCGAAGCGCTTGGGATTCTCCGGGAGCTCCTGGCGCCGCTCGCCCAGCTTCACGCTGCGGCGATCCAGGGAAAGGCTCAGGCGGGGGTGAGCCGTGTCCGGATCCAGGGTGACGTCGGCTGCGAAAGGGGGAAAAACGTCAGGAATTTGGTGCCTTCCCGCTCGGATTGCCCCAATCCCAAGGGAATCTCTTGGGTTTAAGATTTCCTTAAGAAAGGAAAAGGGGTCCCAAAAGGGGGTCCCAAAAGGGGGTCCCACTTCCTTTACGTATCCCATTTCTGCATCCCATTGCTCTGCCAGAGGCTTTGGAGAGGTGGCTCCATGGAGGGGGGACTTTTCCGGATCCAAAGATTGGGAAAAGGAATCCGGAAAAGGGGGAAAAAAAACAGCTGGAGCTCTGGAAAATGAGGGGAAAAGCAGCAAGGAAAGAAAGGAGACCGGGATGCAGCAAAGGGAAGGCTGGAGGGAGAACCATGGGATAAAAGGGATCCCAGCTTGTGGGAAAGCTGGGAAAAAACAGGAAAAGGGGGAAAAAGGAAAGGGGGAAAAAACAACTGGAGCTCTGGAAAATGGGGGGGAAAAGCATCAAGGAAAGAAAGGAGACCGGGATGCAGCAAAGGGAAGGCTGGAGGGAGAACCATGGGATAAAAGGGATCCCAGCTTGTGGGAAAGCTGGGAAAAAACAGGAAAAGGGGGAAAAAACAGCTGGAGCTCTGGAAAACAGTGGGAAAAGCATCAAGGAAAGAAAGGAGACCGGGATGCTGCAAAAGGAAGGCTGGAGGGAGAGCCATGGGATAAAAGGGATCCCAGCTTGTGGGAAAGCTGGGAAATCCCCAAATTCCGCGCTCCGGATGCCGAGCCGGCCTCTTCCCTTGGGAATTGCCGGGATGGAGCAGCCGGGTCTCACCTTGAGGGACTTTGCTGAAGACCTTCTCCATCTTCCTCATCACCACGTCCTGCAGGAAGTAGTTGCGGTTTTTCCTGCCCACATCCACCGGGACCATCTCCGGCTCCTGGAATTTGATGTTCTCGCACCTGCCGGCGGAAAAGGGGGTGGGAAAAAAAATCAAGGAAAAGGCTCCGGAGGCTTTGGGAATGCTCGGAAAACCGCGGCGGGGCAGGGATGAGCCCGACCGGTTCCGCTGGAAGAGCCGGCGCTCCCGATCCCGCCTCTGCTCCGGGGGGATCCATGCGACCACATGAAGTGCCGGGAAGCAGGCGGAGACCCATCCCCAATTCCCAGCACATCCCAGGGCGCCAGCCAGGAGTTTACCACAAAAGGGCTTTTTTAGCACCAAAAAAACAGTTTTTTGGGGAAAAAAAAGGTGGGAATAGGGAGTCACTGACCTGATAAAGGTGCCTTTGATGTCCTGGAAAAGGAGGCGGCAGCGTGAGGAGGAAAAGAAAGGGAAAATTAGGGAGCGGACACCGATGCCGTCGTATTTCCCACCAAATCCGGCCCCGCAATAAGTGGGAATGAGCAGGAGGCCCTAACGGAAGGGATGAGGATCTCCTTTCTGGGAATGGATCTTGCCCGCCAGGAAAGGGATCATTCCTGGGAAGCAGACCCTGCATTTCCAGCTGATAGGAGGGATAGGGAAAATCCCTTTCCCTGGAAATGTGGGATCTCCTACTTGGGAATGGATCTCGCCCACCAGGAAAGGGATCTTCCCTCTCCTGTCCACTAGGAATGTGGGAATGGATCTCGCTCACTGGGAAAGGGATCTTCCATTCCCACCTTTCCAGTGGACAGGGATCTCACCCACCAGGAAAGGGATCTTCCTTGTCCACGGTAAAGGTGGGAATGGATCTCACCCACGAGGAAAAGGGATCTTCCCTGTCCGCGGGGAATGTGGGAATGGATCTCACCCACGAGGAAAAGGGATCTTCCCTGTCCGCGGGGAATGTGGGAATGGATCTCACCCACGAGGAAAAGGGATCTTCCCTGTCAGCTGGAAATGTGGAAAGCATCTCCCCCACCAAGAAAGGGATCTTCCCTCTCCCTCCTATCCGCTGGAAATGTGGGAATGGATCTCGCTCACCAGGAAAGGGATCATTCCCAGGAAACAACCCCCGTGTGTCCCCCCATCTTCACCGCAGGGCAGCGCCGAACCCCTCCCGGCCGCCTCTCCCAATCCCGCCATTCCCGGCGGCATTCCCGGCGGCATTCCCGCCCCTGGAGGAGCTGCAGGCCGGGCATTTTGTCGGGGCCCTCGGCGAGGAGCCGCTCGAGGGCGCCGCGTTGCTCCTCGGGGGTGGCCACGTTGCGGCCCTGCCGCGCCAGCAGCCCCTCGTAGCGCTCCTCCAGCGCCTGCAGCAGCAGGACCTGCTCCCCGATGAGGAACTGGTGCAGCAGCTCGAAGTCCGACTCCAGCTCCTTGATCTCCAGCTTCATCTTGTCCTGCGGGAAGCGGGAACGGCGGGGGAAAGGGTCAGCGCGAAAACGCGGCCAAAACGCGGCCAAAACGCGGCCAAAATGCCCGGTTTTACACTCAGTTCAGTGATTTTCTCCTCCTCGCTGGA